TGGTGCCTCCTTCCTTTGCTCCCTTTTCTGAGAAAGCTGACCTGGACTGGTAGTTGAATCATACTTGGGGGGGAGAAGCATTCTCCCCCAAACCTGGGGAGCAGCTGTCTGCCTTTAGGGATTGCAACACAGCAGGCTGCCTGGAACAACAGACCACATCCATCCCTACCGGAGAGTGAATCCCCCCCAAAAAGGGTTGCTAATACGCCTCCCCCTTCGCATACACCTGATGCAGTCCCCTCATTTTGCCCAACGGTAGAGCCCGTCATCAGTGACAAGGAACAGATGATGGTTCTGCAACCTGGATGAAACTTTCGGGCTGGTGGTGGTCTCAGGTGTTGTGAGCCCCCCCACCCTTTCCCAGAGCTGTGCCCTGAAGAGAGAAATACCTCTGATTTATCTTCCTCCCCCTCCCCACCGGTCTCTGCGGTGGCCCGACATCCATCAATGCCTGCCCCGCCACCTTCCGATGACTCACTGGGTGGTGTCAGGGACTGGCTGGTATGAAGTAAGGGGACAGGAATGCTCAGCCAGGGAGGCCAGAAGGGCAATCACAAGAAAGGGAGCGTGAGTCACCGGCAGAGAGAGTGAGAGAAGAGGAGGAGGAGGAGGAGGTTTCTGAGGGGGAGAGGAGGAGGTGGGAGAACCCCTCAACAGGAGCAGCAGGAGTCTTGAGAAAGAGAACAGGGCAGAGGGCAATAAAACTGGAGAAAAGGCATGGGGGCGGTGGTGGAGGTGGTGCAGATCTGCCATGGGGGATGGGGTGTGGGGGATGGGAAAGGGGAAAAGAAAAAGAAAGAGGCCAACAACAATTAAAAGTGTATAGGTTAATCCTTTAAATCAGAGTTCTTTAATCCATACGATGTCCCTCCATCCCTCCCCCCCCCCACCTTCAGCTGTCTTCCAAGTGAATGCAAGAGCAGGAAAAGGAAGAGCTGTGGGGAAAACGGGGAGGGGAGCATGTTAAAAATAAACCAAGTAAGATTCGTGCTGAGACAAAGAAATGAAAAGATAAATGAACACCATGCCCCACCAACACAACTTATAAGTCCAGCAAACACAACATGACCCATAGGGCACCTTTCACCGCTTGGCCGCCTTCACACAATGCTCTTGAGGAAAGGCCAGACTCTCCTCTGGGTCAATTTTAAGAGGCAAGGATTATGTCTAATTAGCGAAAGGAATAAAAGCTTATCGTGACATTTCCGCATAGGAAATGACGAGAGGGAAGGCTACATCTCGGTTATTTATGTATAGTTCTGTAAAGAGGCTGTGGATGGTTTATTTACTTAAAAAATGTTTCCCCAGTGGGTAAGCAAAGTGACTAACAGCACACAAAATGACCGACACATACCAGCCCGACAACAATAGCTGGAGGCTCTGATCAACCAGAATCGGGGCAAAAGAACCCAAACAGCCCAGCCAGGATGTTGGGGGCAGCCCAGCCAAATAAAATGTCTGCTCTGGGCTTCCCTTCTGTCTAGCCGCTAATGGTACGAGCCAGCGTCCCAGAGGGCAGGAAGGTCAGGTGCCACCCCTTAGAAGGCCCCGTCCAGAACTTAGAAAAAGTTATTTTGTAGGACTACAACTTCCAGAATCCCCAAAGTCACAGCAGATGAGGGATTCTTGGGTGTCAAGGTGCAAGGAAAGGAGTTTTCCCAAATTCAGACCCTATATCTGCCCAGTCTCTAAAATAGTGGAAATTCATGCCCAAAATGGGGAAACATTTTAGCTGTCTCCTCCCCTCACATAAACACCCCCCATGCCATTCTCTGTAAGGAAATGGAGATGCTCTTGTCTGGGACACAAGGCCCGTGTCTGTGTCTCAGCAGGCCAGGAAAAGAGGGCCTCCCTGGTCTAGAGTTTCTCCACTCAGGCGGTGCTGGCTGGCATGGGAGGTATTCTGAGGGGTTGTAGTGCCTAGCACTCCTTTCCCATCTCTCCTGAAGAATACTAGGAGATGACAGGAAAACCAGGATTTCTCGTCATTTATATGGGAGATGGTAGTCATTTATTAACGGCTGAGATCACACCACACATTGCCCAGGTTGGAAACCTGTCAGGCAATTATTTTTGGTGTGTCATGGGCATCCCGGCCTTTGAAGAGCCTCTGCTGTCTGCCCTCCCAGTTCCAGCTGCGTTCAGACATGCCTGCAGAGGGAGAAGCTTCTCAGGAAGCCTCTAGGGCTGTATTTTTGGTCTAGCGATAACTGGAAACCACCGGAACGGCTGCTTTACCTGCAACCACACATGTATCTTTCCCTCTTCTCATTAAGGAAAATAGGTAATGCTCTTTACCCAGGCTGGTTGGTATCCTTACATGGATGTAACTTTCAGTGACTACAAGCAGCTTGCTATTGTTTCACATATTTGGGGTCAAGATGAGAAGAAATAAGGTGGGTCAGCTTAAGGCCCACTTTTCATTTGTAAGGACTTATTTTTTTAAAAAAAAATCACCCTTTCACCTTAAAAAATAAAAAAAAGTGAATCCAGAACAAACTAAAAAAAACACTTAAACCTGAATATTTTATAATTTTAAAAAAATCCAATCCTCAAATTCTGAAGGGATTATAGAAGGGTGTGGAGTTGTAATCCACCTTTAGAAGGATGTAAAGGATTAAATCATATGTGGGAGAACATTCCAGAGTTTTTGGGCTACATCCTGCATTTTGCAGAGCTGAGATGATGAAACTTCAGGATTGCATCATTTTTCTTGTTAATACAAGAATGTCAACGTCTACCAGCTGGAGCGAGACACAGAATGAACATGTACAGTAAGAAGCACTTGGAAAGGGAAGGATGATTCAGGCACAGAGGTAAAGAGAAATGAAGGCTCATGCAAAATAAGAGGGACAGAGCAACTCTAATGAGGCCCAATAATAATCTTAATTAAAATGAACAAAGAAAAGCAGGCAATACATCATACAAGCTCCCATGTCTTTATATGAATGCCAGGAGTATTGGAAACAAATAAAAAGAATTGGAGATCTGAATGCAGGAGGGTAAATAATGACTTGATAGAGATAACTGAAATTTAGTGGGGTGACTCCCAAGACTGGAATATAGTAATAGTAGGACATAAACTGTTCAACAAGAACAGAAAGGGAGATGGAGTTGCAATATATGTAAAAAACAAACATATTCCTGCACAGAAATACAGAAGGATGGGCAAAAAACCCCAAGAGGAACGTGACAGTTGGATTATATTACCGACTGCAAATGCAAATGAAACCTTTGAAAAACAAATTGCAAGAATTTCAAAGAGACACAATGTAGTAGTAATTGGAGATTTACATTTTCCTGATAATCTGAAACTAGAGGAAGAGCTATCCTTGACTTCTTTCTTCTCCTCTATTGGTTAGAATTGACTTGGTGGAAGAAGTGGCAGTAAGGGGACTCTGAGAGAAAGTGACCATGTTCTACTTGAGTTCTTGATCTCAAAGGAAACAACAGCAGAATGTAGTTGCGTATGTATGCTGGAATTTGGAAAAGCCAGTTTTAATAAACTCAGAACAATAAGCAAGGTCCCCTGGCAGGAGATCTAACAAGAAATGGAGCCCAAAGTGGGTGGGAGTTTCTTAAAAAGTTAATTCTAAAAGCAGAACTACAAACAATCCCAACAACAACAAAAGGTGGAAGACAGCAAAAAGACCCACGTGGGTTCACAAAAAACTCAGAGAGGACCTGATTTTTTTTTTAAAGGACACATACAGGCAGTGAAAAGAAGGCCAGGCTAGAAAGGAAGAATACAGACAAGCAGCAAAAGCTGAGAATGAGCTGATGTTAGCAAGAGACACTAAAAGCAACAAAAATGCATTCTTCGGGTACGTTTGTAGCAAAAGACAGAGAAAAGAAATTGTCGCTCAGCTACTTGATGGAGATGGGAAAATGATAACAGATGGCAAAGAAAAGGTACTTTAGCTGGTGTTTTCCCAAAAGCTAGTCTATGACCCTCCAGACAAATGTGAAGTAGAAATGGAGGGGACAAGGCTGCAGCCTGAGATTGATAAACAGTCAAGGAATACCTTGTTATGGTTGTTGTGGGTTTTCCAGTGCTGTCCTCTGAAGATGCCGGCCACAGAGACTGGTGAAACGTTAAGAAGAACAACCTTCCGAACACGGCCAAAGAGCCCGAAAAACCCACAACAACCATTAGATCCCGCTCGTGAAAACCTTCGCGAATACCTTGTTACTTTGAATGAGTTCAATGAGTCAGATGAAGTACTGAAGCAACTGGCTGAAGAACTCTCAGAACCATTGTTTATTGTTCCCTTGAAATTATGGAGAATGAGTGAAATGCCAGATGATTAGAGGAGGGCTAACCATGTAAGTTTTGTTTCTGTCCATAGAGTTTTCTTGGCAAAGATACTGTATTGGAGTGGCTTAGAGTCGGACATGATGTAATGACTAAACAACAACAAAACCATGTCCGTATCTTCAAAAATGGCAGAAAGGAGGAACCGAGGAACTACAGACCAGTCAGCCTGACACCAATCCCAGGAAGAATTTGGAGATTACAAAGCAGTCACTCTGTAAACACCTTGAAAACAATGCAGTAATAACTAGAAGCCAACATGGATTTTTTTCAAGAACAAATCCTGCCAGCCAGCTCTGCTAGGAAGTCAAACCTTTTATTCAGGCAACCTCGTATTTCAGGCTCTTGGGCTGGGAACATTTCCCTCACCCATTCTCTGATCTTCACCCAAAGTTGCGGATTGAGTGGGGGACAGTCTGAATGTAAAACATGCACTTGGCTAGTGATTCAGTGCACATTCCTGTTCCCGTCCAATTCTCACATTCAGTCATGAACTCATATGAGCCAGGTTCCATGACCTCCACGTGCAGTGCAATCATTCAGGCTGACCTTGCAGGGTTGTTGTTAACAGTCCCAAAATGCTTTGTGCACTCAAAAGGATGGCTTTGCTTTCGTCTTGCGTCAGACAGCAGCACAGGCTGTGGCAACGCTCACTTACCAAAACAAAACACTCTTCTTTGTTTCATTAAGAATTAATAGTTTTTATTTTGCTTAAATCCACAAACATTAATTCATGTTGTGACATATTGTTTCTTGGTTTCTAATCATGTCTGACCAAAAAAACAAACCAAACCAAAAACCACACACCTTAAACATTAAATGTTCTCTTCTCAGAGCAGGAGATATAAATAGTGGCCTCTCTCTATCTCTATGAGCACCGAGAACAGGCAAGTGGAAGGAGAAAAGACCAATGTTAGTGTGGCTTCTACTTAAATTATGGTACTAGCCTGTTTTCTTCTTCTTCACATAGTGGCCCAGCCACTGACGAGAGAAAAATCAGACAAGAGGCTCAGTTGAAAACTAGTCCCTGCTCCTCTTCCAGAGTGCCTTAGCACCCTATATATTTCTCAATATACATATAATTGGGGGGGGGGAATCACATTCATGTTTTGTTTTGAATCACTCCTCTGAAAAACATCCCAACAGTTGCTGTGAGCTTCCTACTAGGAGTGTCCATCGTAGGGAAGACTGAGGAGCTGAAAGATTTCCCCACAGCGGTACCCCAACTATGAAATTAAATCACCCCAATATGGGGCATTAGACCTTGGGGGGACCTCAATAGACCCCTTTTGTGCTTCCACTAACATTAAACAAACAAACAAAAAACGTTAGTGAGAAGGTTGATGTTCCTTTACAAAAGGGACCAGCAATACTTTTTTGTTTTGTTTTTCCTGAAATGTACACAAGGAAGCCCTCACACCACCTTGCCCTCTTCCCCTCCTTCAGGTGGGTGTGTATTTGTGCAAAAAAAAGTGTTAACACCCTAGAATTCCAGGGCAGATTTAAAAAATCCTTCCGGATTCTTCAGGAAATACCAGAGGTAATGAAAAGTTGGACTTCTCTTCTTTTTTGAAATGTTGAGAAAGACATCTGTAAGGGGAAAAAAACGAATGTGGAAATGAAGTCTCAAAGATCTAGAAGACAGTGTTATATCATGGCTGCCATCCATGCCTCCCACCCAACACTGTCAGGACATTCTGGTCTAAAACTGACATAATCTCCAACCAAAGCCCTCAGGGTGACTGGAAAAGATGGGAATTGTAGTCTGACACCATCTTCATGGTGCTGGGTTGGTGAGTGGAAGCAGGGGGAGCTGAGTTAGATACCAAAGAAGATGGAAACTGGGGGGGGGGGGCAGGCTTATACTGCTGCTCAGTGACAAAGCCAACTCTGTGACTGGGGACTACATATTCTCTTTCAAGGTAACCACACTGTTGTGTGGATAAAAAAAGAGGGTGGTTTGTCATCTGTGTTGCCCTCAGTCTGCTAAATAAGGTCAGGATTAAAGGAAGAAACAAAGGTATTCAAAGGTGGAAGTCAAAAAGCAGCAGCCATTTGAGCTTACAGATTCCCTGCTGACTAAAACAGAAGTTATTCCCAAATTAAGTCTGCACAGAATCTCCATTTCAGACATTCTTTCACTCCCTCAATATTTTAGGCCTGAGCACATAGCGGCTGAAATCCTGTTGTGCTTTTGGATTTAAAAAATGTGTATCTTTTGGAGGTGAAGTGCCTCAAGTTATTACAGTATCTATTGCACATCCAAGCTGTGTGACTCAACATGCAACTGGCAATGCCTATGGAGATTTTTTTTAACTTGAGGCAATTTGTCTCCCAGAGTTATAGCTTGGCATTAAAAGGTAACAGGAGTTCAGCCACTCGTGGCAAAGATAAAAAAAACAACCACTGGCTGAAATCCAGTAGTAAGTTGCCACTAGAATAGACCCATTCAACATCTATTTAAGTTCCACTTATTCTGATTTACCACTGGTTTTCAGAGATCTGCAATCAAAATAAATGCCAATTAAGTACTCAAGGAACCATATTTAGTTTTGCCAAATATCTCCCTTCAAGGTGGGGGGTGTATACAACTTTTTTTTTGTATATTGGAATGGAGGAAGAGGGAAGGCATGGAAACAGTACCAAGCTTTTCCCTCCAACTCTTGAGGACTAGAAACTTGTTATTTCTCTCTCTCTTTGCCAAAGATGCAAAGTCTGTCCAACTATTCACAGGCATAAGGGATAAGGAGACACAATTATGGCTTGAGTTTAGAAGCAACCATCCTCACCTTCAGTGTATCAGTGATTCCTGAGCTGAATGGCCTCCAGTCTCCTCAATGGGGGCTAGAAACATACAAAGAGAAAGTTGTGTTTTTTTAAAAGCATTTATGAATTCTAAATCAGGTGTTTAATGGGAGGGGCAACTGGCATTCTGCTTTGACATGCTCACAGCAACAGACATCTCATGAGAATTAAATAATGAAAAAAGAACAGTAATTTGGGAAAGTTTCTTCTTGAACTATAACTCCCAGAATCCCCTAGCCAGCTCAGCCAGTGGGAGTTGTAGTCCCAAAAAGCAACTGTTCCAAGTTCTGTTGAGGGAATACTCACTGGTGAATTTTTCTCGCCGCCGGCAGCGGGCATAAATGATGATACCACCGATGATGCCCAGCAAAAAGAAAGTTCCCAGAGATACTCCCACTACAAGCCATATTTTGAATGTATCCGGAGGCTGGGGGTCTCCACCTGCAAGGGAGAAAGGAGAGGAATGGGTTAAACTCAGCTCAGCTTTGCAGAGAATTGGCCTGCGTCACACCCCAAACTTTTTCCTCCTTTTCCACTGACTGCCCAGCTACACTCCCAATGTGAACAAGACTTCTACAACATCCATGACTCAAAAAAACAAAACAAAACAAAACCCACCCCTTGTTCTGCCTGCCAGTCCATTCCCCACAAGACTGTCTGGTTCACTTATCACTAGAAGTAGAATGGAAATGTGTGTGTGTGGTGGGGAAACAACAACTAGACACCTGCTCCATCAGTGAGAAGCATTTTTTTAAAAAAAAAAAAAAATAAAAATACCTGCAGGCTCAAGGATGGATTTGATCGACTCAAATTGATTTAAATCACAATTTAAATTTTAAAAATGGGATCTTTTTGGACAATTTACATGTTTTAAAAATTATTCTTCTATTTAAATTCTGATTTTAATCAATTCATTTTTAAAAAAAATATTTTTATCCACCCTTCTGCACTCTTCAATTCAGAGTTTTGGGATGGTGCAAGGTATTGGGTGGAAGAGAGAATGACTTTTTAAAACATGACTGTTTAAAAACAATTAGAGATATCATGCCACATTAGTTTTTCTCCTCTCAAATTGGTCCAGGCTTTTGGGTATCCATTTCACTGATGGTGCTTGCCATCTTGAGACCCACTGAAGTGTATTGGTTCCAATGCTAAATTTAGGATTCGGGAGACTTGACCTCACCTTACCAATCAATCACTCATAAAATCAGTGGATGACTCTAGATGTGTCAAGGGGTTGGACTCGATGGCCTTATTAGGCCCCTCCCAACTCCATTATTCTGTGGGTCTATGACTCTGCACAGTTATAGCAGATTGATGCTGCTTTAATGGTCACAGCTTCATCCTATGGAATCTTGGATTTTGTAGTTTGGTGAGGGACTTAGATTTTTTTGTACTGTAGTCCAGAGAACTGTACTTGAGCTCTTGGACAGAGATTATCAATCTGCAAACACCAGGGATCTTTAGTAGCAGAGCCATGACAGTGAAACAGGTATCAAACTGCTAGGATTGGAGCGTTAGAACCGTCAACTTTTAATGGCTACTGACTGCTAGGATTGGAGCATTAGAACCGTCAACTTTTAATGGCTACTGAGCATGCTCAGTCCTCAACAAGGGGTTCTATCCCTTTTATGTTTACCCCCTCTAAGAGCATACACACTTCTGCAGATGATGGGGTTCTCACTAGGCTAAGTATGGCTCATGGACCAGGACAGGGTGGGGACAGAAATCCAGTCCTTTGGCAAGAATGGGCTAGGACTCTGTTCTATCTCAACTATGCATGGACACCAAAGAAACTGGAAGTGATTCATTTATCCACTGTTTCCAGCATCCACGGTGGAGGAAAGTAGAACTGATCCCCTGCAGATACCACAGTCCTACTGCAATGCACCCTCTCTTCCCTAGCCTGGCTAGCTATACTGGGAACTGATCTCCTGCGGATACCACAGTCCTACTGCAATGCATCCTCTCTTCCCTAGCCTGGCTAGCTATACTGGGTAAGATTCTGGAATACTGTCTCTCCCCCTCCCTACCCCCACCAAAAGGCAGGAAGAAATAATATTTCCAAGGTTTGTGAATGATGCAAAAGAATAAGCATCTCACTGTGCACAAGCCGATTATCAGTACCAGAAGTGTGGGGGAGGGATGTGCTGGGAAGCAGGGGGCAAGGTGTTGGTCCCGGTTTATGATGGGTTATGTTTTGTTCCAGCGACTCACATGAAGAGCAGAAGTCATTCTTATTCTGGAGTCGGCACACAGCGCAATCCATACATTTCTCCAAGTCTGGACTCCAGGACTGGCCTCCAGGGCATACAGTAGCTGATGGGGAAGAAAAAGAGGATCCTCATAGTTACCTCTGTCATGACAACCACACCAGGCAGAAAGAAACTAGACAATTTTAGTAATTTGTCTATTGTTCGCTGCCTTATGCTTAATGAGCTTCGGAGAGCATATACTGCTCATGTACTCCCCACATTATGCTCATAACAACATGGTGAGGTAAGCCCCAAAACTGGCTAGCACATACAGTCTGGTGCAAAGGTCAGAATACAGGACTAGGACTCAGAAGGCCTGGGTTCAAATCTCCACTTAAAACTCCCTGGGTAACCCTGGGCCAGTTCTGCTTGATCTGCTTCCCAGGTTCCCATGAAGTCATGTACTGTATCCTGTCTTCAGCTCATTGGAAAAGTGGGATATATACAGTAGTAGGAAATAAATCAGTGGGGGTTGTGAGGATGTTTACAGGGAAGCAAGGCCTATCAAAACAGACTTTATTTCTGAGTTATTCTTAGTGAGGAAAGGACTGATTGTCAAACAACCTGGACATCACCAACCAGAGTGTGAAACCATCAGGAAGGAGTGAAATGAATGAATGAAACTTTTTAAAAAAGAGGTAAACAAAATGCAAGCTGGAACACGAAGAAGGGATTATTAGCAGCTGAACAAAAAAAAAAACAAAACATGGGGGTGGGAGAGAATCAGAAATCTGGGTCCAGGCGAGTCTCCTCCCCCCCCCATGACATCGGGGCCTATTTCCAGAGGGGTAACGTCACTTGGCACTTCTTGTGTTTCACCCCGAAACCTGAACCGGCCCCGGAGCAACAGGAGGAGATCATCGAGGGGTCAAGCCCGAGGGCTATCACGTGTCCAAGGCGGGGCGGGCAGGTGGGCGGTGGGCGAAGGAGGAGGAGGGGAGACCGGCCTCCCCCCCCCTTTCCCCGGTCCCTCCATTTTTAAGTGACTTCATTGATAAAATATGCCGCGTGCGAGCAAACACATGGCGCCGTGCCCAGAACTGGAGCAGGGAAGGTGGGGCCGGGGAGTGTGAGTCACTCTGTGGGTCGCATGACGCGCACGTCAGAATCCGTCCTCCTCGCCCGTCCCCCGCTTTTCTCCCTGTGGCTCCCATCCCCACAACCTGGAATAAGAAAACTTTCCACCCCCCCAAAGGAGCAGCCAATGAGCGAGAAGGGGGCGTGGCCCCGCGCCCGCCGTCGCTCCGACTGCTTTGGAACCCCGGGGCTAGTCCGAAAGATCCAACGGTGGGCGGGCCAGAGGGGCGGGGCTTAGCTTTCGGCCCCAGAACACGTGAAAAGTATTAGACAGCGCTTCTGGGCATGGGCAGACGGCGTTTGCTTCCAGACAGGTCTGAGCAGGACCCCTCCCCCCTTTTTATGGGAGGGGTTTTTTTTTCCTGGTAGACACTGATCGCAGAGAGTCCCCCAAATATATTCCGATCCCCTCTCAAAAACTGGGGGTGGTGGGGGTGGTTCATACAATCCCAGTCCCTACAACCTTTCCGCAAGAAAACAAACATTTGCTAGAATTAACCGACCCGGGAAGGAACAGGAGAGAGAACACAGCACCTGTTGAAATTCTATCCGGCAAGCCATTGTTTCAAGTACAGGGTTAGGGATGAAGCCAACCTACCCCCCACTTTTTACAGGGAGCGTTGCCTCTCCTTCTGATCTAAAGCCTGGACTAGCGTTCTGTTTAACTCCAAAGCCGGCACACCTTTGCCCAGGAGCTAAACCCGTTCAAGATCGTTTTGTCCTGGCTGGGGCGATTTCATCCGCTAACCATGGCTGTTTTCTCTTTCTCTTTAGAACCTATGCGGGACCTGCCCAACCTTAACCCCTCCCCACAGGTCAAACCGCATTATTGGTACTGTACAGTTGTCCTTGTGGACTTCAGAGTTCGCCGCTTTAAACTCTAAAAAGCGGCGATTAAAAAAAAAGTTCATTCATTCACACATTCGCGGACTCTTTTTTTTAATTCCCTCCTTGTTCCTCATACTTTTCTTCTTCGGGAACTCTTGAGGCTTTCCTTTACTCCCCGCCCTGTATAGGGCAGCTTCTGGCCCTCCAGCGGACATTCAACAGGTGCAGCTTCTCTAGGCACAGAGAAGCAGCGCCCTCGTTTTAACCTCGAGCGACCGGTAGCAAAGTTTGGAAAATACATCCCTTCTTTTATTCCTACAGTTCCTATCCAGGTTGGAGAGGGGATTCTGGGAACTGTAGTCCAAAAAAGTTTAAAAGTACCCCCCAAGTCTATGACAGTGAAGAGCAAAGTTCTGCTGGGACAAAGGAATTGGGGTGGGGGGGGAAAGGACTCCCTCCGAGATCATCGCATCCCTTCCGGAGCCCCCTTTTTACCTGCCATAGGCTCCCCCCAAGCCGTCCTGAACACCAGGGAGAAGAGCCCCCAAAGCACGGCTTCCCACGCGAGCATCTCCGCGTCCTCCCGCCGCGCGTGTTGCCTCCCGAGGTTGTGAGAAGGGGCTCCGTCCGTCCGTCCGTGGCCGCCGCGGCTGGTGCTCCGTGTGACTCAGCTTCGAAGACTTTCCTCGGCTCCCTCCTGGAGACGCCCCCGCAAATCCGGAGGGCGAGGATTGGCGGGCCGAGTGCCAGGACGCCTGGGTCCCATCCTTTGATCTGGGGAGAGGGACGCGCGGGAGGGGGGGGAGAACTGCGATCCGGCAAGTTAAAGCAGGAAAAAGCTCAAAGCAAGAAATCGTGGGTTTTCCGAGCAAAGGAAACGAGAGGCTCGCGGATTAAACTCCGGGGATGGCAAAGAGCCGGACTCCTGTGGTTTTGTGGTTATTAGTTCGTTACATTTTTAATATTTCAGTTGTGATCTCCTTTGCCGGAACTTTTTTAAAAAGTTACTTTTCGTTGGATCCTGGCTGGGAGACAAGGGAAAACTATTAATCGCTCCAAGTAACTTTTTCAAAGTTTGTTTCTGTTTCAAATGTAAACTCCCTTAAGGAAAAAAAAAGCATGAAAAGGATAAAATACTTAACAGACACATGAAAGGGAGAAAAATAAGAAAGGGGTGTAAAATCCTGAACTTGTTCTGAACAGACCGCCGGCTTAATAGGTTATGACGCTTTTAATAAGATTATTTTAAAAAACTCTTTTTGAACATGATGTCTGGAGAATGAATGAAAGACTACAAAGGAGGGTTCATTATGGAAAGTGGCGTCAGAGGGACACATGAAGGCAACCAGATTTTCCGAGGTTTGGGAGTGGATCCTGTCGGGTGAAAATAGAGCACAGAATCGAGACGTCTGGTGTTTTCGGAAAGTCGGAGGGAGAGGCATCTGGGAAACAGACTGTCCGAGACTGTCTGGTCTGAGAGAGGGTTTTTTGCAGCCTATTCCTCAAAGCGTGGAACCATATGGAATAAAGCTCTTATTTTAAAATCAGAAAATACTGAGTGGAAAACTAACGGAACAGGAAAAGAAGCCGGGTCAGAAGGGAGCCCAAGATTTTGGGCTGCCTGAGGCAAAGCAGCAGACGGTACCTCCCCTCCCCTCATCCCAAACAAGTGAATAATTCTGAAAGCCAGCCAAGAATTTTGGAACTTGAAACAATAACTACCATTCTGGCCGATGGGGGGGGGAGAACCCAAAATAATGAAGAATTCTGGCTGCAAAGAGACCTAATGGTAGAGATATTTGAGGAAACCAAAGGGAACATGGTTTTCTGATTTAATTAAGTAAATGTAAATAGTGCCAGGGCTCAGCTTGCTTAAACACCAAGCAGTTTTCGCTCTGCATATAATCTTAGGAGCTATACATGGTAGATATACCCAGTGTGGTGTACAGTGGTGCTTCGCTAAACAGTTACCCCGCATGACAGTTTTTTTGCTAGACATTGACTTTTCGCGATCGCTATAGTGATTCGCAAACAGTGATTCCTATGGGGTAATTTCGCTGGACAATGTTTTGTCCCTGATTCGCAAACCAATTTTCGCTAGACAACGATTTTGACAGCTCCCTCCGCGCTCGCAAAACAGGGGTTTTTGGGACCTAAGCTTTGCAAGACAGTGATTTAAACAGCTGATTTGCAGTTCGCAAAGCAGCTTTCCTATGGCCGATCTTCGCTAGACAACGACGATTCTTCCCCATTGAAACACATTAAACAAGTTTCAATGCATTCCAATGGGGAAATGCTTTTCGCTAGATAATGATTTCGCTAAACAGCGATTTCGGTGGATTATCATCGTCTAGCGAGGCACCACTGTAGTGGCTAGAGTGGCGGATTAGAACCCAAGAGACTAGGGTTTGAATCCCTGCTTAACCATGGAAGCTCATTGGGGGAATGCAACTGGTAAAACCGCTCCTTAATTTACTTACTTTGAGAGCCCTATGAGGGTTGCTATAAGTCCGTTCTGACTTGACGGCACAGAAAACCCACAAATACATGGTAGACGAGACTCTGTAACTGCTGGGTAGCAGTGGCTTTGGCATCTGGCTGTGGAGCCAGAGGTTCAGTTCCCCGCTCTGCCTCCCTGACAAGGGCTGGACTCGATGATCTATAGGGCCCCTTCCAGCTCTGCAGTTCTAAGAAATTGTAAATGCCTAAAAATACTGTGTTCTGGATACTGGAAAACAAGCTAAAGCCATCCGCAGGGAATGTTGAGGAAGGAAAATCCCTGATTCTGCGCAAGAAGTGAAGAGAAACTGGGGAATGATCAACTAGCTGAGAATATCCAAGCTTACAATTAAGATAGAGGCTTAATTATAGGGTTGGGTATTTTTCATAGATCAGACATTTTTTCACCTTTTTTGGGGGAGAAGTTACAAATACCTAAAGTGGAATATAGAACTCTCTAAGCCCGACCCTTACCTCTGGGGTTAGAACTGCTTTCCTGTATCTGAGCATTGAATGGGTGATAATATTCCGTGTGGTTTGCATTAAGCAGAGTTTTTTCCCCCTGTTTTTGTTTTTTTAAAATATGAGTAGATGGTACTGTAGCCATTTCTCTGCGGCATCCTCAGCTTCCACCCTCCCTCACTTTGCAACTGCCAGCTAAGGTTGGACTACAACCACCACCATCCACCGCACACTTAGAGGCCACCAGGCTGGTGCCGTAGATGGGTGGCCAAACTGTTAAAACATAAAAACAAAAATCCTCTTTTTTTAAAAAAAAAAAGGGGAGGTAATCACCCATATCAGACTTGACGTCTCATTAGCATATGGCTATTTTTGTTTGCTGGCCAAAGTCTCACTTCTACAATGCAGAAATGCCCAGAATTTCAATAGGAAGGACATATACTGAGCCACAGCTTGTGCAATGAAGGAATTTCCCCTCCGGTGAAACTGGCGGGAATTAATCGGCCAGCCTGCCAAAATGCCACAGCCAGTGAGTAACTGGCAATGCTTCATTGAGTGCCATTTGTTTAGTGCACACATGCATGGCCTGAGCATAGCTCAAGAATATCCTTAAATGACAGGCTGAAAATCTATGAATCTATAAGGCCTCTGTGCCTAAGTTACAAGCTCAGCCCTACCATCTGCACCCTCTTGGGTGTATGAGGATAAGTGCACATATACACATTGGTCTAGCATTTTATTCACTTTGGGCCTCTACGCCTAAGTTACAAGCTCAGCTCCACCATCCGCGCCCTCTTGGGTGTATGAGGATAAGTGCACTTATACACATTGGTCTAGCATTTTATTCACTAGAATTGAGCAACCTCTGCCCTCCCTTGATGTTGCTGGACTACAACACCCATCATCCCTTCAACACTACCTCTGCTGGCTGGAGCTCATAGTCCAACAGCATCTGAGGGTCTTTGGCTGACACTGGAAGTTCCCACTAAGGGTTTTATCAACCCCATGACTTGACGTCCTGCGAACCAAATCCTGTGGTGGGATTTGGGGCCAGACCTCCAGGGAGCCCCCAGAAGCAGCAGGGCAGATTTTCTCAATTTGGCTTTAAGTGAAGTAATTGTCCAACTTTGGGCTGGGGCATAAAATGACCCTCTCCGACATTTGTGTGGCCTCTCCCACTTACCAATGGCTTTGTAGGTGGGTTCAGCATCCTTATCCCTCCCCTCAATGAATAACCTGGTATGGCCTTTTGGGCTGCGTGCTCTGTCCTTTTGTGAGACTCCCCCCCACCCCACCTTCAAATAGCTAAAGGCAAACAAGAGTTACTGTCATTGGGTTCTTGTTCTTATTTAAGCAGTTCCTCGTCTTTGATGCAATTAACCACAGGAGACGGGTTATCTTTAACCGAACGTTTATTATCTTCAGGAGGGGAAGGGTGTACCATAACTTCGGTAGGTCCAACGGGACCGTTAAACGTAGGCGAAACAGCCGACATCATAGTCAGTTCCATCAGTGTTGTTCTTGCCTTCAACGTGGTGACATCCCAAATCTCTCCCAATCAGTCGGCTTCCTCAAAGAGGTGTTCCTTACCACGCATATGGTCCCACAGCATGGGTGACCTGCCCACTGGTGTCTCTCCAGTGCGGATAGGGTCCAGACGGACAACCTTCTTCCAAGGACCCTTCCTTCTCAAGTAGACATACACTGTCCATTCTAAAGGGTCCCCATTCCTGTAACTCAACTTCTATACCCATCACTCCGTGTCCGCATGTATTTCTACCCCCTCCCTCACTGCCTCTTTCTTCTCTCCTCGGACTACTGGCTGTTCTCTTCCCACCTTTTTCTCCTCCATCCCTTCAATTGCTTGACCCCCCCTTTAAAGTCATATCTTGAACCATCACAGGTAAGTTATACAACACGATGTCGCCCCCTTCCACCCGAGAGGATTGAGGGAACAGCTCACTTCCAGGTGCGGCCACTTTAATTGGTCCCTCTTCACAGTTAAATAAGCATCCATGTGTAGATTCTGGCCACAGGTGCAGTTCCATAGGTGCAGCTCCCATTTATTCAATCTGGAACAAGATACAGTATATAACACAATATATTCAGTGTTTACACCAGGCTGTTCTGCTGGGCCATGTCCTGAGGACAAACATTAGCACCAATTTAGAATTCCATGTGCTACGCCATAGTCAGTATAACTTAATGGTTAGAGCATTGGATTAAGATTTGAGACCCAGGTTCAAATCCCCTTTTTGGCCATGAAATCCATTGGTGGCCTGTTAGGCACTCTCTCTCTCTCTCAGCCTGACCTACACCGCAGGGTTATTCTGAGAACAAAAGTGGAAGTTAGGACAGCCATGTACATTGGCTTGACCATACTGAAGGAAAAGTGAGAAATAAAGGTTAGCAAAAAACAAACAAACAAACAAAAAAGATAAATCAACCAGTAGACAGATAGCTCACTCTTGGTATCTCCTCAAAAGCTGTGAATATTTATTTATTTATTTGATTTTTTAAACCCACCTTTCTCCTTAAAAGGACCCATATATATATAAACATTCACACAACCAGTGAAACAGCTGCATTACACCAACGCTGGGTCAAAACAATTAAATTGCACACTTCCCTATATGGTCCAGAGAGAGTCTCTCAGCTAAGAGGTTAGCTAACTGTCTGTCTTTCTTATAAATTACTGGGCATTGAAGGGCTGCCTGGGTCTAGAGGCAGTGGTCATGCTGGGCAAACGTCTCTTTGAAGTGAATTGAACAGAACCCACCCTTCTCCTTTCTTGGAGAATCCGCCCCAACCTCTCCTGTAAACCCATTCATACCATAATGGGGAAAGGGAGGGTGGTGGGAGGACTTGGATTGGCCCCGCCCCCTCTGCTGTCCTTCATCCCCATCATCCTCTTTCCTAGCCCTGGTCCTCCTTGACTGTTGCTGGAGATCATATGCTGCCACCTGCTGGTTGATATCTACATCCCTCCTGCTTTAGAACAGCTGGCATCCATGGTGGGTGGAGGAGCATAGCAAAGCAAGTCATAATTCGGTGACCAGTTGTGCATTGCTGACCAAAAAACTGTGGTGGCTAAAACGTGGGTGGGAATCCAGTTGGATGTCCCAGCAACAGTAGACATACTGGCCAGAATTCCATTGGTGTTCATATGAGGTTTGTAGCTGGACATGTGCTCCCTCATTTCATACACTATGTAAACACTACAGTGTAAACACCAACAGGATTCTGGCCATCGAATCGATGGAATTTATGTCAAGTGTTGACTTATCCTTTGGCAGTGGATTCCTGTTACCTCTTTTTAAGACAAAAGTTGTCAGCAGGATCTCTGCAGACCAGCGGCATCCAGGAAGTAACACTGCATTTGGAAAGAGAAGTGCCCTTGTGTGGACTTAAGATTCTTCATTAGGCCCATTGTGAACACAAAGGCAAATTACGGAACCTATGAAATCAAGGTGATAAGTGGCTCACCAAACACTGAACAAAGAAAATAGGAGGCAGCAGCACCCCCCTGTGGACTTGTTCCAAAACTACATCTCAATCAAAATTTGTGTAAAATACAGTACTGCTGGGGGAAGTTACCAAAAGTGCTTGCAAAGCCCTTCTGTTTCAGATTACCTCTCCTTGAATCCCAAAGATAAGGCAGAAGCAGAACCTATACTTTTTTTCCCGCTTAATCTCTGCACATTTTGTTGTTTTTAAAATTCTCCATTCCATTCTCTGGACCTGATATTTCTTTTTGTTTCTTAATGGGCTACCTCCGGCTTGATTTCCACCTCGAATTTCTCCATGTTGAAGAACTTCTCAGATGGTGCCAGTTGGAGTGATGGTTTAATCTAATGTACACAGCATTTCTCATGAGAAGAGAAGACTCCCTGGAAAAGACCCTGATGGTGGGAAACTGTGAAGTTCAGAGGAGAAAGGGGATGACCGAGGACGAGATGGTTGGACAGTGTCATAGAAGCTACCAACACGAATTTGACCCAACTCCAGGAGGCAGTGGAAGACAGGAGGGCCTGGCATATTCTGGTCCATGGGTTCACAAAGAGTCGGACACGACCTAACGACTAAACAACAACACACAGCTTGTGCATACGTCTGCTTTCAACACTATGCTGGAGGGAGGCCCAACAGATTGAAGGCATGCACAGAATCAAAGTATACCTATAGACTGCAATGCTGCGGAGTGGTTCTTTATCCATCCTTTTCCCAGTTAAGCAGAACCTTTGGTAGCCATAGATCTCATCAGATCTCTTAACTTGTGCAAGTCATTTGTTTCTATGGAGCCCTAGATTCAACAAGAGAAGCTATGGGTAGGTCTAGTCAAGAAGGGTGGCTTGGCAGAGTGGCTAAAGCAAACAGCTTGGAAAAAGTAACTTCCACAACTGGGCGACATTTGCAGCACTCAGTAAGTTTGGCTTTTTTCCAGCTGCCTGATTCAATGCAGTATTTGTGCTGCAGCATCCATTCTTAGGAGGAAGAGATCGCACTGATTCAAATACCTCTCACTGATGAAATCCTGCAAAGTCCGAGGGGCAAATGAAATATTAAAGGGGTTGTATATTCCCTCTTATTAGCATATTTTCTTAGAGAGGCATGACTGAACAATTGGACTTGCCAGTTAAGCCTATGTTTATCATCTGGTGCCCAATCACAACAAATAAAGCATGCCAGAATGCAAAATACAGCAGGAGGCAAAAGACTGTATTAGGGCAGACAGATATCTTTCACTTGTTAACAGAGTGTTGCTTCTCAATACAGGCTAAGTGTATCATGTCTGACACGGATAAACACTCTGACAAGGCAGTTTCCTCTGTTTCTAATAAATCTGTATATAATTTAGTAACAGAGTGTTGCTTTTCAATACAGGCTAAGTGTATTATGTAGTCTGATATGGATAAACACTCTGACAAGGCAGTTTCCTCTGTTTCTAATAAATCTGTATATAATTTAGCATGTGGGAAGAGCTATGATCAATTGGCCACTCTCAGTTTTCCCTGAACTGATATTTTCCACACATTGGAGCCAAAATTCCAGTAAACCCTCCTCTTTGTTCAAATCATACAAAGACTTTGTTCTAAATCTCTTCTCCAGATGAATTTGAGCAGGAAGGCAAAATATGTTGGTTTGCCGCCTGCCTGTGGAAGAAATGTGCCTTCAGCCGTATCAGACACTTCTCATCCAGTTTCAAAGAATAGATGAAACAGGTGCTAACTTGCCACACTTTAATCATAATCCTCCAGGTTTCTCTTCCTTCAATAAACAGTTTTCTCTCTGGGCACACATGCAGAGCAACTTTCTCTTTTTAAAAAAGGAAAGCCCTGTTCTATTCTTACACTAAGGTAGGCGCACATAGTGCTGCTACCTTGGTGGAGAAGATGTTAACCACTATTTTTGGAAGCATTTTTATACCAGTTTCTCCAGTGCACAATAGCAACCTATGAAAAACACAGCAAGAGACGCGGCACTCAATAACAATGGGCTGTGGTACTTGCAATTTCGTAGAAGTTTTGAATAATCGATGTACTGACAAAGCAACAGAACACACACACACACACACACAATGCATGTTAAAAAAAACCCGCCGTCGTGCTTTGCAGATGGGACAGCAGCTCCTATAGTCTCCCATGGGAACGATGGGCACTGTAGTCCAGTCCACCGGGTTGGGCAAATCTGGAGTGAAGAATAGTGAAAGGAAGTGGGAGTCTAGTGTTGCAGAAGGGTGAAAAGAGATGGCCGGAGCTCGTGTGCAGCTGGGTGGAGGCGGTAATTCTGGCAGCGGTTCCTGTCTCTGGGGGCTTTCATTTCAACATTCTGTCTGTGAGTGGCTGGCTCGTTCTGTGTGCAGGGAGTTTCTGGTGGGATGGAACAAAAAGAAGTTTCCTTTTCGCCCATCAAGAGCAAGGCAGGAAGAACAGACACAACAAAGCAAAAGAACAGTGTCAGGCAGTGGACGGAGAGAGAAGACAGCAAGACAACCCTAAAGAAAAGGTAAAGGGGGGGGGGGAGAAGAATGCAAATATATAATGCTTAATTTACATTTATCAAGGAGGTTGCTGGACACAGAAGAACAAAGAAAATCTCACCCCTTCTTATGGATTTAGATAACAGACACACAGGAATGCAAGAGATGAGGAAAACAAGAGAAAGGGAAAGAGACAGACGATGAAAATATCAAATGTATTTTCCAGAAGACTCTCTCTCTATATATATAGCTGTAGGAGCAACATTCAAATTTGGGTAATGACTTTGAATATGACCACTGAGATGTAACAAAAGTAGCACAAAAGTGGCACAAAAGTGGCTAGTTCTTCAGAACTTCGTGAGGCAAGATGGCACAACAATTAAGGGATAGGGGAGACACCACATTTTCCAGAGGGCTGCCCTTCTGCATTGTCTTTCTGTGCTTCTGGATGCATTTAAAGCAAGGTTGCTTGCTTACAAAGTAATTTACAGGGATTTTCCTCAGAGAACGAATGCAGAAAAGCATTCTCCTTGCAGTCAGTGTGCAGACCAGGTCCTACTAAATTGCCTTCAAGCTCTTCTTCACCCTCTTTCTCAAAAACATCATCTGTCTTTCCTTTTCAGTTCTTCTTCTTGGCTTCTTCCGGAAGAGGCTTTTATTCAATGTCCTGTTTTAGTCACTGAATTCATGGGACTAAAATAGCAGCATATTTTAGTTTAGAGTTCTTCTTATTGACCGGAACAAGGCCTTATGAAGGGCATTTCAGTCTTTCAGAATGGGGAGAAAAAAAATACACACAGTTCATAAATTACCAAACACGTTGTGTCATGGAGAAGGAGAAGTGGCCCTCTGGGGAACTCCAGAGAAAGTAGAGACTCTAGGTGGGTTGGATTTGGCCTCAAGGATGAAGGTTGACTTTTGATTTAGGTAGGAGTGTCTAACAATAATGGTGTGAACAAAATGTGGCTAGTGATTATATTTCCTCTAAGGACTTCTTTTCCTGCCCAGGTTCCTATGCCACTGATATCTATTCTGCAGGCAATAAATTCAGCAGGTTAAGGCCTTCCAAGCACAGAGGGAAATGCCATTCACTGCTCGCTATTGTGAAATTGCTGGAAGCACAGGAACCTCGCCAGGAAAAAAAAAAGCTTGCTTATCCCAACTCTTCTTTTTCACATCTCTTCAAATCTTAGAGGATCTAGCTGGTATAAGGAGAAAACATCTCTCTCTTTTCTCCACAGATGGCTGCTGTCGTTGCTGGTCTGGCCCGAGTCCTTCAGCCTGCCATGGCACTCCCAGCGGGTGGGCCCGGTTGCCATGGCCTTGCCCCCTGGTATCTCCTTTTGGGTCTACGCCTGGTAGCCCTTTTCATTGCCGATGGTCCCTGGTCCTCTGTCAAACCTGACCTGGCTTGCAATTGGACCTCAGCGTCTTCAGACACTCAGCCTTTTTGCAGCACGCTCTGCTTCAACCGGCACTTTTCTTCGCCCGTTTCCTCAGTGTGGGGCTTTGCTTTTCTGGCTGCCATGCTCCCGGTGGGACTAATGTGGCTGCTAAGAACTGGACTGAAGCATGGGAAAAAGGCAGCAAAGGCAGGAGATGAGGAACGGGCAGATAACTCCAGGGTGAGCCACCACATGGCTGACGAAATCAACACGGCCGCTGGAAAAATTCCTCCGTCCGGTGTGTCTGCTTTCAGAATTGACACAGTTCAACCAGATTCCAAGATGGCTTCTTGCTGCACCTGGCATTCAGTGGCGTTTGGTTTCTGTGTGATTCTGCTGCTGGTAATGGAGCTGTGCTTCCTCTGGGTTGTAATAGCTCTGCAGCTCCCCTCAGTGTCAGAGACGACGTTCTTGTGCCTTCCGGGAGCACTGAACTGCCCCAAGGCCCTTGAATGTGCTTTGGCAGGCCAAGCTGACAAGCAGGTGGCATTGTGGGCACTGGCTTTCACAGCCCTGGTTGATATGGCTGCTTGCCTCGCCTACCTTATCTCGAGGTTAGCGAAGGCTTCGAGGTGCCACAGAAGGTAGCAACACAAATGAGGAAGAATACTAGAAAACTGGACTCCAAAGGTGGAGGATGAAAAAGACTGATGCAGCAGCACACAGTTGCCAGCCGTGACGCTGAAAAAACCGATGTGCCAATACCTGCCAGTTCGGTCCAGTTTCATGAACTATTCTTGTTGCTGGAGAACCAAGGCTTCTTTGATTTTGAAACACAATGTTTTCAAATTCTGTGTTCTCGAAGGCTTTCATGGCCAGGATCTGATGGTTGTTGTGATGGTTCAGAACACGGCCAAACAGCCTGAAAAATCCACAACAACCATTTTCAAATTCTGTTTTTCGTTCTATTCTCCTTTTCTTACCTTTTATCTACTGAAACAGGTTGTATTTTAAATATATTTTTAAATGAAATGGTTGTCTTTTGCTAATACCGTACTATTTTGTCAATGCTTCTTGTCTAAAAAGGGAGATATGACTATAATAAAATAGTAAAGAATGAATGGGTGGGTCTGTTTATTTAGGTGAAGAATTTACCCAAATCAGGGCTAAGCATGGTGGGCTCAGACTGTACTTTGATTCTCCATCCAGAGGTTACTTAGGGAGCAGACAGGAGTGTCCCTATGCTTCAGCTTCCTCCAACCATATTGGTTGAATGACAACTGCCACCACAACATGCTAGCTAGGGCTTCTCTGGTCTGACATATCTGGAGAACACCAGGCTGAGGGAGACAGGCAGCCGCATGTGATGATACAGCGGCTGTTGTTTAGCAACCAAGATGCTTAAATTTTGGCAGGCTTCCCCTCAGAGTTTCTCACTGACCTTTCATGGCCAGGCGTCCCTTGGATTTCCCTTGGGTTCTGTGGGAAGTGGGTGTCTGGGCTGTGGCAGTGAGAGGAATATTTGCATGCTTCCAGGGACACTCCTTTGGCTGCAAGGAGAATCCTACCGGAACTGTTGAGTCATGATGCTTGCCCCAGAGTTAACCCGTTTGGTTCTCTGCAGCAGCTAGTATAGAAACAGAGGGAAGATACAACATGGCTGGGCAACACCTGAGCAGCCAGGGGCTATCGGAGGCAAAATGTGCTCCCCTCAAAGGCGTGGGTGGATGTGTTTCATATTGCAGTTTAGGAACATAATTTTTTCAGGGCATCAGGGGTGATCTGAGGATGTTGCTGGGGAACAGTACTTTGCTCAGCCTGAGATACAAGAATCAACTGGGTCTGTCCCAGAAGTCTGCCAGTGCTATCAAGCAAAGTCCTTTCACTCTACTCATGGAATATGCTTATGCTTTATGGGATGGGGGGCACTCTCGGACCCATCCAAGGCTCCCCCTACCCCTGCGGGCCCAGCAGGCTGAAATTGCCACTCATGGAATATGCTTCCGCTTTATGGGACGGGGGGAACAGAAATTAACGTATTTTTTGCTCTATAAGATGCAACCCCCCAAAAAAAGTGTGTGGGGGTAAGTGTCTGTATCTTATGGAGTGAATACTGTAAAACAGCGCTGCCCAGGGCCCAGCAGGAGGATGGTGGGGGGAACCTCTGAAGGGTCCGAGAGTGCCTTCCAAAAAAAAGCAAAAAAACAGTAAATTATTAAAATATTTTTAAAGGATTAAAAAACACATTTTCCCCCTTCCACACCAGCCTATTTCATTTAGGAGAATTCTAGATACATTTTATTAGAGTTCTGAAAAGTTACTACAACTCTTGAAATTTTCTCCTGATCATCATCATCAGCAGCAAAAAACATCAGGCTTGGTCAATCAAGATTATGAAAACATTGACTGGTATTATACAACAGATATAAGTTTTAACAAAAAAACCTAAGTATCTGTTAAATATTGGCACAGTATGTATGCTGTTCCTAATACTGCAATTTTTTGTAGCTCTAATGGTATTATTTCTGAGATCTGCAGCTTCTTATAATACTATGTGAAATTTCTTGATATTGTTCCCTGATGGCTATGCGGACCACTGAAATGTGTTTTATCCACAAGCGAGATGTTTATATGATGATGATGATTAAATACAAGACACAGTCTTTGACTGGGATTATATAACAGATACAAGTTTTAATCAAAAGCTAGGTGACAATGAAATATTTTGGAGTATTTTTGCTGTCGGTGAGAGGTCTGCTGCTGATTATATTTTATAAAAGTCTGAAGCATCATCCCAATGTCCTGATGACTATGGGGACCATTTAAGTGTATTTTATCGACAAGCAAGTTATTTCTATTTCCAGGTCTCTATATTTCACTAATTTTTCCAATTGTTCATCTACAACTCTGGCATTGCTTGGAATTGCAATGTCAATTATCCAGTCACTTTGTTCTATTACTGTCATGGTGGTGTAATTCAAGGTGTCTGTCTGTTTGAATCCAACAGTCACACAAGATCCTAACTTGTTCATTTTCTGATACGTTCTCTACTTGATGTTCCCACAGATTCTTTGATAGCGTACATAATTTAAAACACAATATTAAAAGCAAAAAAACAGTAAATTACTAAAATATTTTTAAAGGATTAAAAAACACATTAAAAACGTTAGTTACAAGCATTACTAAATTGATATTCCATTGCACTTCTTCTTTGTCAACATTGTTGGCGCATGTGAGTGGACTAAAAGGTCAAACCTTAAGCTGAAAAACCTGAAAAGTCCTAAAAATGTTCAGGTGAGCTGGCATGTTGGCAAAAACCACTGATCTTTTAATTTCAAGAAGCAATTTAGCAACTTCTTGGCAATTCTAATCAAGTACATGCCTCTGCAGCTGTCTGGCTGCAACCTAGGTCTCCGTATGATACAGAGGGGAGCATCAAGAGTTTGAGGAGTCTGCTTTTTCCCATTTGGCTTTGTCTTTATACATCAAAAATACATTATCTCAATCTTCTTTGATCATCCAAGGGAACTAAGCCCCGTAGTCCTGCCCCAGGAAAGCTCACTATTAAAGATGTGAGATGTGCTGAACAGTTGGAGAGAAAGAAATAATTAGATGAAGGATAATAACATAGAGGGAGCTTTAATAAACCGAGGAAATGGGGGTTAACTGATTAGGTAGACAGTCTGCATTTACTCTCTTAATTGCCCTTGATTAGCTGAGTTGGCACTCCTTGCAATCTGCATTTGGATTGCCATTGTGTTTGACTGCTGATCAGGCACGTTTTTTCCGGAGGAAGACATTTTGAAGAACATGGTCTGTGCACCAGAGGAAAGGAGATCAAAGCTTCTGAATTCTGCAGCTGGTTCGTTTGCAAGGAATTACAGTAATTGGTGGCTCATTGCCAGTCAGTTCTCTAGCTGTCCTTGATCCTTGATCTGGAGCTTGGAATTAATGTGTTACAAATAGTAATGTTATGCACTATTCCCAGATGTGTTTGGTGGGGAAACAGGAGAAGGCCTTCTCTGTGGCTCCTCCTAGACTTTGGAACTCTGTCCCACAGGAGGGCAGGCTGGCCCCATCTTTTCGGTCCTTCTGCACGCAAAGACCTTTCTCTTCAGGCACGGTTCTTCCTAATTGATTTGCTGCCTGAATTGGTGTTTTTTTTAAATGATGCCTTAGTACTTTGTATGTGTTATGGTGTTGCTTTTGTTTACTATCTGTTAGTGTGGTATTTGCTTGATCCTTTTTAGTATTTGTATACTTACTGCATATGCATACTATATATTTGTACACTTACTGTTGTTACCTTTAGATATTGCCTTTTAGTGATGTGAGCTGCCTTGGATCTTTTTTAAGGAAAAAGAGTGCGTGCGTAGAAATATTTTAAGTAAATAATTTTTTTTACACTTATGACATTACAAATGTTGGTATTTTACAAATGTGATGGAATAATTAATGTCGAGAGTAAGGTTTTTGACCATTTTAATGTTTTTAAATTTATTTTGAAATAATTGAAAAGTAATTAAAAAACAGTTTAAAAACCCAGCATGATACTCAGTGTGGTGACGTAGATAAGAGTGATAGACTTGGACTCCGGAGACCTAGGCTTCAGTCCCCAGTCAGTCATGAAAATTCACTGGGGGTATGGAACTAATAAAACTGCTGCTTTAATATCTAACTTACTTTGAAAGCCCTATTGTGAAGGTGAAGGTTTTCCTTGACATTTAGTCCAGTCGTAGTGAAGGTTTTCCTTGACATTGAGTCCAGTCGTATCCGACTCTAGGGGCAGTGCTCATCCCCATCTCCAAGCCATAGAGCTAGTGTTTGTCCGAAGACAATTTCCATGGTCACGTGGCCAGCGCGACTAGACACGGAAGGCCGTTACCTTCCCACCGAGGTAGTACCTATTTATCTACTCACATTCTTACATGCTTTCGAACAGCTAGGTTGGCAGGAGCTGGGACAAGCGACGGGAGCTCACTCCGTCGTGTGGATTCGATCTTATGATGGCTGGTCTTCTGACCTTGCAGCACAGAGGCTTCTGCGGTTTAACCGGCAGCGCCACCACGTCCCTGACTTTGAAACCCCTATTAAGGTTGCTATAAGTTGGTTCTGATTTGATGGCACAATACAAATAAAAACGCCCTGCAAAGTATGTGAGGAGGATGTTACTAGCTAAAGAGTATTGTTCCATATTCTGCCCTGATACTGAGGGAGCAAGAAGTGTGACAGAGTCCCTTCTTCACTCCTCTCTCTTTTTCATGACAAAATATTTATGAGGAGCCCATATTTGGCCCTGGGGCTTCTTCTGCCTGATCCCTTGTGGTAAAATGTGATAACATTAAACTCAACAGCATTGTTGTTGTTGTTGTTGTTGTTGTTGTTGTTGTTGTTGTTGTTGTTGTTGTTGTTGTTGTTGTTGTTGTTGTAGTTCAGGCATTGCAGACAGCTTCCAGCATGATGTTTTTCAGTAAATCTTACCTCAGTACCTTGTTGATATGCTAAACAGTCTAATGTGAAAGGAAGAGGTGTTTAGCATTTCTTCCACAAACCTTGCTTTCTGTAAAAGAGGAATTGGAAGTGCAGGCATGTCCAGGGTCCTCGCTGGTGGCCAAAATGCGAAGAAATGGAAATAACTAGCAGCCCACTTCCAGTTTTGAATTATTGTTGTTACATGATACTGGGGTGAGGTCTGTAATTTATTTTGAAAGTGAATTTCTACTCTTTGATTTCCTGCTTTAAGAGGGAACTTAATGACCCTTGAGATGCCTTTCAGTTCTACAAAATAAAATACAAATGCAAAAATAGGCAATACTTTTACAGAATCATCATAAAATACATGAGCTTTTGTGGATTAAAAACCCACTTCATCAGTTGTGTACCGGCATGAAGAACTTTAAATCTAAAACTTCATGGCAAGATGGATTTTGCAAGGAAGGTTACTCTTAGATGTAAAGTTCAAAAGTTCTTGATAAGATGGAATTCTCCATCTTACTTTTTTCTTACCATGTTTCCCCGAAAATAAGACAGAG